CATGGAGGAAGGAGAGGCTCAGAAGGCCCATCCTTCCCTGTGGATGAAGGGGAGAGAAGGAGAAACCTGGTTGTGGGGGTGTTTTTTAATTCACTGGCAAGGCACCCATGTTCCTGTAAGTAAACCTAATTAAACTCATTGGATCACAGGGAGAAAAAGGGTTGCTAAACAGAAATGAACCAGTTGGGAAGTAGAAGGGTCAGCAAGAGAGGAAGAAGAGAGTCAAGGAAGGAATATTACCAAAATATAGTATAGTTATAGATGAGATGTCCATTATGATCACTAGTGTATGCTAACAAAAACTTAAATAAAATTTTAACTTCATAGAGCAAAGCAGTCAAATGTTAGAGAAACCAAAAATGAATTTTATCAATCTTGAAAAATCTAGATTCTTTTTCATTTTCAAGACAGGGTTACTCTATGTAATAGCCCCAGCTGTCCAGGAACTCACTCTGTAGACCAGTCTAGTCTCAAACTCATAGAAATCCACCTGCCTCTGCCTCCTGGGTGCTGGGATTAAAGGAGTGGGCAACCACTGCCTTGCTGAAAATCTGCATTTTTATAGAGCTTTTAGCAACTGAAGATTCCGTAACAGGCTCTGAAACCTGAAAGCAAAGCCTCCACTATGGTCCATAGTAGACCTCTAGTCTGAAGCCTTAGCCCAGCCTATTTCACATACTGGAGTTTTTCAAAGAAGTTCCTCTTTCCAACCCAGGCTCAGAGACTCAAAATTTCTGAAGTGAGCACCAGAAATCTGGTTTTTAACAAGTTTTAACAAGGGATTTGGGATGTACTTGGGACACAAGGACAACCACTTCACAGCAACAGCAATCCCCTGAATCCAGACTAGGAAGACACTCCTCCATGTCAGGGTGGGGACTCAGACAAGTCACACAGCCTTGGATTCCACAAGATTTCAGATGATAAATGGAGGAGTTAACAGGCTGCAGTGAACAGCTCTGCCAAGAGTGTAAACCACCTCCTGCAACTCAAATGCAGAAGCATATTACTGTACCTTTAGAGCTTGGTCAGGGGTGAAAGCATTTATAACCAACTCCCCTTCGACAACTCTCCGGAGCTGAGAGTCCTCTTCAAAGATGGATTCCATGTTCAGCACAGTCCACACAAACCAAACCTATAGAACCAAGCAAAAGGGAAGGAAAGAGGCCACTAATCCCAATTGATAGACATATCAAGCTCACAGGTTTAAATCTTCTTAGGGCTGGAGGTATGATATGCTCAGTGTACAGCATTTGCCTAGCATGTGCAAGTCCCTCGATTTGATCTGTAGCACTGCAGAATACACATGTGCAGATGTCAAGCAGCAAACGTTGAGATTCTAAACTTCCTATGTATTTAATATGTGTCTATGTTCTTGTCACATGTATACAACAGGACAAAAACAAGTAACTGAAAAATGCTAAATTCTTCCAGGGGGAAAATAACGAGGACTACATTTGGGGGTGGTGGGCTTTACCAGAGAATGTTCTAGAGCTAGGAAGGAAAGATGGTCCCTCAGAGTCTCAGTAAGGCAGAAAAGGGGAAGTGGGGAGGTGGCCACCAGTCAATGTAGCAGAGAGGAACTGGTGTCAACTCAGTCCCAGGAAGACCAGGCAATAGATTGAAGGATGTCACTACTGGCTGAAGGAGTGAAACAGATATGACCTCATATAGTGATGATGAAGCTGCTGCTGCCAAGGCCACACAGAGAGAGAGAGTTGACTAAGGTCTGTTCCAAGTGATCTACATACGGGTTCAATTAAGACAGAGGTATAAGCAAGCAGCCCAAGACAGAGCTAGCCAATGGCAGGATCACTCTGAAACCTAGGCCACCTACCCCCTTAACACCCACACTTGATCTCTCTTCACTCAGCCCCTGACCCAGCCTCAGTAAGGAGGGTAACAAATGGTAGGCTCCATACCTGCGTGGACATGGACAAGCCCTCCACAAAGGAAGGTGTGATGTTGCCTGCCACAATCCAGCTCACCAAGGAAGAGAGCAGACTCCGGTCACAGTGGTAACCCAAAGCATTCTACATGGGGAAGAGGAGCAACAGAGAGTCTTGGAAAACCCTATCACTGACTCTTCCAAGGGTATTAGCAGTTACCTCCACATTGGAAGATTCCAACGGGACACAAGTGGTTCATTCAAAATTTTGTTTCTATGTTTATCAGGGAAATTCACCTATGGTTTTCTTTCTTTGTCGTCTCCTTAACTGCTTTTAGTATCAGAGTAACTCTGGCTTTTTAGTTTGTGTAACAGTCTGGAGGGCATTGCAGTTAGTTTTTTAATGGGCTAGGAGAGTTGAGCAATGACCCAGTCATGAGCAAAGTACATGATTTACAGGTATGGAAATATTATCCTGAATGCCATGACAATGTATACATACTAACTGAAAAAAGATTTCAAAAATGGGACTGTCCACTTCAGTATTCCCAGAGTATACCACAGGAACTATAAGACAACATAAGGTGGAATTTATAATTTAAAAAAAAATGAGCTGCCACAGATTATTACAAGGAATTGTATAATTAGGAGACCCTTTTAGCAGCTAGGATCTAGCCAATGGCTGAAACATATTTTCTTACAGTTAC